GCACCATCCCTTGTGGCTCTTAGTAAATCCTGCCTACGCTTCTGTAAATGGTCCTTTAGTAAGCATTCCCCAGCTCCTCAGCCAAGTGTGCCGTCTGTTTCTTGGTGGGATCCTGGCTGCTTCAAGTGCTGTCCAATGCAGTATTTTTACAAGAGCAGAAAACCGGAAGCAAGCTAACTGTGCCTTGTTTCTGTTTGTTTGTTTGAGAGTCTTGCTCTGTCACCCAGGCTGGAGTGCAATGGTATCTTGGCTACTGTAACCTCTGCCTCTCAGGTTCAAGCCATTCTCGTGCCTCAGCTGCCTAGGTAGCTGGGATTACAGGCATATGTCACCACACTCGGCTTTTTTGTTGTTTTTGTTTTTATATTAGAGATGAGATTTCACCATGTTGGCCAGGCTGGTCTCAATCTCCTGGCTTCAAGCAATCCACCCGGGTAGACCTCCCAAAGTGCTGGGAGGCCAGAGCAGGTGCATCACTTGAGGTCAAGAATTTGAGACCAGCCTGGCCAACAGGGCAAAACCCTGTCTCTTTTTCTTTTCTTTTCTTTTTCAGCACATACCACTACTGTTCCAGCAGCGAAACCCCGTCTCTACTAAAAACACAAAAATTAGCTGGGTGTGGTGGCAGGTCCCTGTGATCTCAGCTACTCAGGAGACTGAGGCAGGAGAATCACTTGAACTCAGGAGGCAGAAGTTGCAGTGAGCCAAGATCGTGCCACTACACTCCAGCCCGGACGACAGAGTGAGACTCCATTTCAAAAAGTAAAAATAAAATAAATAAATTATATTTATTTATTAAAAATAAAAAAATAAAATAAATAAATAAGTAAAATGATTAAATAAATCACAGTACATCTGCTGAACGGTATTTCATGCAATCATTTTTTAAAAATACAGCAGTCTGTGTTCACCTACATGGAAAGGTGCCCATTCGTTAGTGGAAAAAGAAAAAAGAAAAAAAAAAGCAAGATTCAGAATAGCATGCATAGCATGAACCCATTCATTTACAAAAAATGTAAATCGTACCTTTGTTAAGGCTTGGAATGCAAGTGACGACAATGCTGCTCAAAATAAACCTCACCAAAAAACAATGTGGGGGTGATTTCCTAACTTAATCTCTCTCTATCACTTGGTTCTGCTTCTTGGTTCTTCACTCTAAGGCAGGCTATCTTCAAGTGGTGGCAGAGTGCACACCAGTTTGGCTTACAACATCCTGACATCCTGATAATAGCTGGCAACCTCAGTGGAGGGCCCTCATTCTCAAGAAAAATCCTGGGCTGAGCCGGGCACAGTGGCTCATGCCTGTAATCTCAGCACTTTGGGAGGCTGAGGCAGGAGGATCACTTAAGGTCAGGAGTTCAAAGCCAGCCTGGGCAACATGGTGAAACCCCATCTCTACTAAAAATACAAAAATTAGCCAAGCGTAGTGGTGGGTGCCTGTAATCCCAGCTACTCAGGAGGCTAAGGCAGAGAACCACTTGAACCCAGGAGGGTTGCACCTCTGAACTCCAGCCAAGATTGCACCACTAAACTCCAGCCTGGGAGACAGAGTGAGACTCCATTTCAAAAAAAAAGAAAAGTCCTGGGCTGAGGCCAATCAGGATATGTGCTAACCACTGATGTTCACAGACTGTGAGTTGGGGAGAAAGGCTTCCCGAAAGAAAAAGGGTGTCCAGAGGGAATATTTCATAACAGACATTTGTTATCCTTTTTGACTACCCAGTATCTGAACCCCTCTTCCTACATCTGGGAGTCCCCTACCTTCTGGGACAGAAACTACCTCCCACTATTACAGATGCCAAAAATGCCAGAAACTCACTTTCCCAACCTCCCTTATTGTCAGACAGCACACATGACCCAGGTTGGGCCAATTAGGTACTCCTACCTCAGCCTCTGAATCTGAAGCCAGTAATACCAAAAAGGGCCAGAACCAACCCGATCTTCTTACAGGGTGCAGCTACAGCATTATATTTGGGTCATTGTTCCTGGCTGTGGGGCCTCCAGAACTGGTTCTCAGGCTCTCATGGGATCTGTGAGCGACAGAAGAACCTTGTACTAAATCCTGCAGCTTTTCCAGCACCTAGAACAGTGTCTGGACATAGCGGGCACTCGATACATATTCGTTGAGAATGGAAAGAGAGTTGGACTCGATGTCGGAAGACCTGAGTCCTACTCACAGCTCTCCTGCAGAATAGTTGTGGAGACTTTGGCAAGACACAACCTCTTTGTGGCTCAGTTGCCTCCTCTATAACCTGGGGATGATCATCTGGGCCATCCCCACTGGCTGGCAGGCCTGCCATGAAGATCAGACAGTGGGTCTCCAACTTTAGCATGCATCAGAATCACCCAGAGAGCTTGTTAAAATACGGGTGGCTGAACCCACACCCAGAATTTCTGATTCAGTAGATCTGGGGTAGGGCCAGAAAAATCTGCATTTGTAACAGAGTCACAGCTGGTGCTGGTGCTGCTACAGTGTGGGACACACTTCAAGGACTACTGATAAAGAGAGAGAAGGCATTTCATTTTCTTTTGGGCTTTGTAAATGAGATTGTGTTCTTAATTTTGTTCTTAGCTAGAATGTTATTGGTGTATCAAAATGCTACTGCTTTTTATACATTGACTTGCTGTCCTGAAACATTACTGAATTTGTTTATCATTTCTAGGAGCCTGTTGGCAAAGCCTTTAGGGTTTTCTATGTATAGATTCATACTATTGGTAAAGAGAGAGAAAGTTCAACTTTTTCTTTTCCTATTTGAATGCCTTTTATTTCTTTTTCTTAGCTGGTTGTCTGGCCAGGACTTCCAGTACTATGTTGAATAGGAGTGCTGAGAATCTTTGTCCAGTTCTCAAGGGGAATGGTTCCAGCTTTTGCCTGTTTAACGTGATGCTGGCTGCGTCATAAATAGCTGCTATTATTTTGAGGTATGTTCCTTCAATGCCTGGATTTCATTATAAAGGAATGCTGGATTTCATTGAAGGCCTTTTCTGAGTTTATTGAGTTGATCATATAGTTTTTATTTTTGATTTTGTTTATATGGTGAATCACATTTATTGATTTGCATATGTTGAGCCAACCTTGCATCCCAGAAATAAAGCCTACTAGATCATGGTGAGTTAACTTTTTGATGTGCTGCTAGATTCTGTTTGTAATATTTCACTGAAGATGTTTGCAGCTACGCTTATTAGTAATATTAGCCTGAAGTTTTATTTGTTCATTGAGTCTCTGCAAAGGACATGAACACATACTTCTCAAAAGAAGACATAGAGGCAGCCAACAAACATCTGAAAAAATGCTCAACATCATTAATCATCAGAGAAATGCAAATCAAAACCACAATGAGATATCATCTACACCAGAATGTCAATTATTAAAAAGTCAAAAAACAATAGATGCTGGTAAGGCTGTGGAGAAAAGGGAATACTCATACACTGTTGGTGGGAATGCAAACTAGTTCAGCCACCGTGGAAAGCAGTTTGGAGATTTCTCAAAGAACTTAAAATACAACTACTATTTGACCCAGCAATCCTACTACCAGGTATATACCAAAAGGAAAAAATTTATTCTATCAAAAAGACACCTGTATGTTTATTGCAGTGCTGTTTACAATAGCAAGGATATGGACTCAACCTAAGTGCCCATCAACAGCAGACTGGACAAAGAAAATGTGGTACAGAGCCAGATATGATGGGTCACACCAGTAAGCCCAGCATTTTGGGAGGCTGCAGTGGGCAGATAACTTGAGCTCAGGAGTTCGAGACCAGCTGGGCAACATGGTGAAACCGTGTCTCAACCAAAAATACAAAAAAATTAGCCGGATATGGTGGCAAGCGCCTATAGTCCCAACTACTCAGGAGGCTGTGGTGGGAGGATTGCTTGAGCCTGGTAGGTAGAAGCTGCAGTGAGCAGAGATTGCATCATTGCACTCTAGCTTGGGTGACAGAGCAAGACCCTGTCAAAAAAGGAAGGCAGGAAGGAAGGGAGGGAGGGAGGGAGGGAAGGAGGGAGGGAAATAGAGTGGGGTGGGTGGGAAGGGAAGGAAGGAAAGAAAACTGGTGCATATATACGACGGAAAACTATGAAATACTATGCAGCCATGAGAAAGAATGAAATCATGTCCTTTGCAGAGGCATGGATGCAGCGGGAGGGTCATTATCCTAAGCGATCTAACAAGAACAGAAAACCAAATACTGCATGTTCTCACTTATAAGTGGGAGCTGAACACTGAGTACACATGGACACAAAGATGGGAACAATAAACGCTGGGGATCACTAGATGAGGGAGGGATGGATGGGACTGCAGGCTGAAAAACCACTTGGGGAGTATTATGCTTACTGCCTGGAAGACGGGATCGCTGGGACCCCAAGCCTCAGCATCATGCAATTTACCCGTGTAACAAACCTGCACGTGTACCCTTTAATTTATAATAAAAGTTGAAATAAAAGAGAGAAAGAGATAAGGGACAGGAGGCGCTAGTTGCCCCAGAAGCCCTGCCCAGATGAAGGAGAGGCATTAAGGGCACCGCAGGACACCGTGAGGAAACAATAAACCCGTTCGTTCCTTAATTCAGCCGCTTCCTTGCTCAAGAAGCTGAGGTTCAGTGCCACGGGCTGCGGAGGGGTCAGCGGAGTCCGCTGTTCAAGTCAAGGCCCAGGCAGCTGCGGACTCAGACCCGGGCCCAGGGCCCTGGCCGCGGCGTGCGGAGGGGCTGGGGCCGCCGCTCCTACCTTTGCCCTGGCAGGAAGTCTCTGGAGCCCCGGGACAGTGAGGCGAGCTGACGCCGAAGAAGCAGAAGGGGACACGCGGGCCTGGGGCAGGCGCTCCTCTGAGGTTCCCTGGACCCCCGAACGCGGGCACTGGAGGCGCGCGGTCCCGGCTCCGGCGCGCTCCCAGCACACAGTGGGCGCGCGGTCCCGGCTCCGGCGCGCGCCCGGCACACAGTAGGCGCGCGGCCCCGGCTCCGGCGCGCGGCCGGCACACAGTAGGCGCCCGGCGCCGGGGATGGCCGGAAGGGGGCGCCGGTTGGCGGTATCCGGGGGCGGAGCCGGCACGGCTGGCAGGGCGGACGGGCCCGGGCCGCGCGTGGCGGCGGCGATGGGCGAAGGCGGGCTGCCCCCGGCCTTTCAGCTGTTGCTGCGCGCGTGTGACCAGGGCGACACGGAGACCGCGCGGCGGCTGCTGGAACCGGGGGCGGCGGAGCCAGCCGAGCGCGGCGTGGAGCCGGAGGCGGGGGCGGAGCCGGCGGGGGCCGAGGCGGCCGGGTCTGGGGCCTCAACGGCGGTTACGGTCGGTGCTCCGGTGCCTGTGGACTGCTCGGACGAGGCGGGCAACACCGCGCTGCAGTTCGCGGCGGCCGGGGGCCACGAACAGCTGGTGCGCTTCCTGCTGCGCCGCGGCGCCTCGGTCAACAGCCGTAACCACTACGGCTGGAGCGCGCTCATGCAGGCGGCCAGGTGAGGCGGCGGGGCCCGGGGGACCGGGACCAGAGTGGTGCTAGGCGCTGGCCCGGGATGCGGTCCCCGGCGGCCGGATGCCCCGGGAGGTAAAGAGTTAAGGACTCCTTAGAGTTGGAATGGTAAACTTTGAGTAGTTTTTGGTAAACTTTGAGCGCAGACGGGGAAATACTTTTGAATTAACATAAAATCAGATTCTTAGAAACTGTGGCCTTTCAGAATAGAATCTGGAGACTTCGAATGGAATCGCAGGGACTCTGAACCTCAGAGATTTATTTCTTACTGCAGCAAGGGTTTCCTCACAACCTGCCTTCCCTCCCTGGCTTGGCGTTGAGGATCCTGCGAGACCAGGCAGAGTCTCCACCCAAGGCAGTGGTGGGCAGGCCAGGCAAAGGAACGGGCTTGAACAGAAAGGTTTGAGTGCCTCTGGAGTCATGGGGGAAGGTATCTGGTAGAAATGATGTTGATATCCACGTGGAGACCTGCGGATGCCTAAGAATTAGCCAGGACAGAACAAGTGGGATGTGGGAAGGGCATGAGGGGAGGCCCATGCAAAGGCTTAGGTGCACGAGCTGGTAGGACTGGTAGAATGATGTATGAGTAGAATGTATGAGTAGAATGATGTACTAGTCCTCCCTGGAGAGAAGGCACATGCCAGGTAGTGGGGGGTGGCGGTGGGGGTGGCGGTGGGGTTGGGGCTGAGAAACACTAGCTGTCCTAGGTTAATAGGGAACCATGGAAGGTTCTAGGCAGAATGTGTGATGATCAAATTTATGTTTTGCAAAAATTACTTTCCTTGAAGTGTGAGAATAGAGAGTTAAGCTAGAATCAAAAAGGCTGGTTCGGTGGAGTTTGCTGTAGTCTGAGTGAGAGGTGATGGTGGCATAGACCAGAATGGAGACAGTATCAGGAGGGCACCCAGATGAGTTTGATATATTCAGGGAATAAACCAGGGAGTGATCTTTGTGATATATTCAGGAAGTATATTTAGGGAGTTGATGACTGGCCCTTGGGGAGGGCTTAAGGGAGACAGCAAGGATCTGTCTTGGATGACTGGGCATGATGGCAGTGAATGCCCTGTGCTACAGCGCACAGAAAGCCCAGGTTTGGGAATGAGCCGGACCTTCAAGCACACATCAAGTGAGAGTCTGCGCACCCCTCTCCACCCTGAAGAAGAGCTTTCCAGCAGAAACTGTAGCTGAGAGTCTGGAGGGTAAAGGGGAGTCTGGGCCTAAGGATTCAGGCAGTTGCTGGCATACTGATGACAACAGGAACTTTGGGATAGAAGGAATTAGCCAAAGTGAATGTGCAATGTAAGAATGATACTAGTCATAATAGATGACTGTCAATCACCCATTGCCACAAGACAACCACCAGAAACCTGGTGACTTTCTTAAAGCAACAGCTGTTTCTTTTGCACAGTTTTGCCACTGTAGTCTCATCTGGCTTCTTCGTGCGTCTCGTCAGCACCATGCTTACATCTATGTAAGGGTCCTAGATGATTTTGTTGCTGAGGGCTGGCTTGGATGTCTGCTGTGGCCATGGATGTACCTGAACTGCTTCTCTTTACTCTTCCAGCAGGCTAGCCCAGGCTTGTTCATGGGTCAGCAGCAGGGTCCTTAGGATTGGAAGCATAGTGATCTCTTTTCTTTTCTCTTGGCCAAAGCAAGTCACAAGTCCATCCCAGCTTGAGAGAATAGATAGGCTTTACTGCTTGATGGGGAGGAGTTGCAAAATCACATTCCCAAGAGCCTGGATACAGGGAGGGGAGTAACCACTATAATTTTTGCAACTTCTGTGTTAATATTTATTGAACACCTATATGCAACCCCTGTTCCAGGAGCATTACACGTGTCAACCCATTTTACCTTTACAACAGCTGTATGTGGTAGGCACTGTTACTACCAAGACACAGAGGTCAGGTAGCTTGCCCAAAACCACACAGTTATCAAGTAGAAGAGCCAGGTTTTGAACCTGTGCAGTCTAACTCCAGAGCTGCCTGTTCCTAACCATTTCACCAGGGCAGAACCCAGAGAAACATAGGCACTTAAAGATTGGACAGTAAAAGGAGTAGTCAGGAATTAAGGAAGGATTTCAAGTGCTGGCAACAGTGTCACTGCAGAGAGGGAGAGGAAAGAGGACTGATTGAACACAGGAGGTTAACACATCAGAGGCTTGGGTGGGAGAGTTCCCTGGAGGTTAGGAGTCCAGGTGGGATTGCAGTGGTAGAAGAGTGAGTAGTTTGAATACACAGGAAGTGCACATGGCCCTTTCACTGGGCTTGGGTTTGTGGGAAGCAGGATACTTGCTTAGGGTCTAAAGAGGGTTTTTAGGATGGGAGAGATGTGAGCGGTCTTACTGCCAATGTGGTCAGTCATGAAGGAGTAACCGGCAGGCTTCAGGTAGGGAGGGGAGGAGAGTTCTCTAAGCTGAGTAAACATTGTTTTTCATAGAAAAATGGTTCTGAATTCCAGCCTTTTTTTTTTTAAAAGAGGTTTATAATTAAAGCAATGTTATAATAAACTTTAAGGACATTTTACATTTAATTTTTGAATAATATATTCATAAGGTTTAAACATGAGACTACACACACGTACGTGTAGTGGTATAGAGTGAAGTCTGTCCCCCCCCATCTACCATCTACTCGGCCCCACCCATCACTCAGTTTCTTGCATATTTGGACAGGATCATTCTTTTTTGTAGGATGTTTAGTAGCATCCTTGGTCTTTCCTCATTAGGTGCCAGTAACCTGCCCTGCAACCAATTTGTGATAATTTCAGTGTTTCCAGACATTGCCACATGTCCCTCTGGGGGGCATGATAGCCCCCAGTTGAGAGCCATTGCTTTATACATATGAGCAAATAAGGTTGTTCTCTTCAGCCCCCTTCTTATACGCTATGCACTGTTCTGTAGCTAGATTTTTTTCATTTAATGTACTTTGGCAGTCTTTCCATATTCTGTGATTACTTTAGGCTCACCTGGATAATTTAGGCTGCTCTGCTCAATGCCAGCCAGCTGATTAACAACTTTCATTCTATCTGCAACCTCAATTTCCCTTTGCCAGTAACATATATCTATGGCTTCTGGGATCAGTCTGGGGACCTTCCTCATTTTTGGATAGCCTCACAGTGTTTCATTGTATAATTTGTTTAACCAATTCCCTGTTGATGGTCATTTAGGTGGTTTCTAGTCACTTGCTGTTACATTCATGCTGCAATGCATGATCTGATACATATGTCAGTTCACACACGAGTAAGTGGATCTGCACGAAATTCGTAAGTGGGGAATAGAGGCATTTGTAATCTTGATGTGTACTGCCTAATTGCTATCCATATAGGTGTATTAGTTTTCTATGGTTGTTGTAAGAAATTGCCACTCCCTTGGTTTAAAGTAATACAGATGTGCTATCTTACAGTTCTAGAGGCCAGAAATACCAAATGGGCCTCACTTGGCTGAAATAAAGGTACTGACAAGGCTGCATTTCTTTTGGAGACTAGAAGAGAAGTTTCTTGCTTTTTCAGCTTCTAGAGGCTGCTCACATTCCTTGGCTGTTGGTCACCTTCCAGCTTCAAAGCCAGCAGCAATCACATCACTTCCACTTCTGCTTCCATCCTCACATCTCCTCTCACTCTGAGTCTTCTGCTTTCCTCTTCCACATACAAAGGACCCTGTGATTACTTTAGGCTCACCTGGATAATTTAGGCTGCTCTGCTCAATGCCAGCCAGCTGATTAACAACTTTCATTCTATCTGCAACCTCAATTTCCCTTTGCCAGTAACATATATCTATGGCTTCTGGGATCAGTCTGCGGACCATTGGGAGCCCATTATTCTGCTTACTACCAGCAATGCATGTGAGTGCCTGCTTTTCTATAGCATGTTTCGCCAACAGTATATTGTCAGCCCTGGATTTTTACCCATCTCATGGGTGAAAAATTATTTCTCAACCTGGCTGTGATTTGCACTTTTAAGTGGTAAGTGAAATGAAGCATCTTTCCATATGTATGAGCCCTTTGTTTCTCTAAAAGGCATTGAAAACCCAAAATTCTTATCCATAATTTTCTCTTGTTCTTTTCCTTTTTTTTTTTTTTTTTTTCCCTTGAGACAGAAGCTTGCTCTGTCACCCAGTCTGGAGTGCAGTGGTGCAGTCTCAGCTCACTGGAACCTCTGCCTCCTGGGTTCAAGTGATTCTCCTGCCTCAGCCACCAGAGTAGCTGGGACTATGGATATGCACTACCATGCCTGGCTAATTTTTTTGTATTTTCAGTAGAGACAGGGTTTCACCATGTTTGGCCAAGCTGGTCTTGAACTCCTGACCTCAAGTGATCCACCCACCTCAGCTTTCCAAAGTGTGGCAATTACAAAGTGCCTGGCCTTACCCATAATTTTCTCGTTGTGACCCAATAATATTTTATATCACTGAGATCTTTTCCAAATGTTACAGAGTTCTAATCTAATTCAGTTTGTATCACCAGCTAAATTCTGTCCTGCATTATTTTCAACTGTATTGTTTTCCACTGCTGTGGGGATAGTCCATCCATGGGACAGTACTGTGTTTTGCTTAGCCATTTCCCAGGCTTTGGACATCTATGTGAATCTACAAACGTACTTTGGAAATGCAGCCCATTTATAATGTGTGGGCTGCCTGTTTGCATGGGCGTACTAAGTCCAGTGTTTTCTGCACCCGTGAATGTGCTGGGGTCCTTCGTTTTAAGACACCTGATTTCTTGCTTAGAGCAACCTGGGGTGATCAAAAAGCCTTTCAGGCTATCAGCCTTTCTTCCCTCTTAGTCTCATTATCTACTCTCTTAAGCTTTAAAACTCCAGGTACATCTTCCTCCTGCTACCCATCTGCCCCATGTCCAAATCTGCCCATTCTGCCCCTGTGGTAGCCTGTAAACCCACACCCTTCCCTCCATCCCCTCTGCCTCAGCTCAGGCCAGACCTTTATGGTGGTCTCCACTGCTCTCCTTTTCTCCCAGTGTACACACATACATATAGTGGTACAGAGTGAAGTCTGTCACCCTGTCCACCGTCTACTCAGCCCCACTCGTCACTCAGTTTCTTGCATAACCTTCCAGAGTTTGTTAATACCAGGGTTTCTTCTACCTTGGTACTGTTGATGTTTGGACAGGAGCATTCTTTTTTCTCTGATCTCTCCTCTACAGAGCTTCCAGATCTTTCTGGAATGAATGGTCATGTCCCCCCATGCAGACTCTTGCCAGAGCACTTGGCATGGCATTGGAGGCTCTCGTGTCCAGACCCCTCCTGCATCCTCTCTTTTGCTTTTTTCTTGGCTTCCTAAACTCTGGCCAAGATAGTTTCGTCCAGGCCGTTTTTATATATCTATATCTATATCTGTATTTTTTTCTGACATTTATCAAGCATTTGCTGTGTGCCAAGAATATTGTCTCCGCTTTACAGATGAGGATCTGAGATTGAGATCACAAAATTTTCTCATGAGCTTGCAGCTTGTTAGAGTAGACTTGGAGAGTCTGACTTCAGACTGCTCATCATAACCACATACAGGGAAGCCCCTTTTGCCTATGAAACCCCCTCTTCCTCTCAGCTTAGCTGCTTCTGTGAAGCATGTCATGATAGCTCCCTATTCTCTGGTTCCTTCTCAGCAGAAAGGCCTCTGTGGTAGCATCCACCACATGTGTCAATGCTGATTGGCGTCCTCAGTACCCAAACTTGGCCACACATTAGAATCACCAGGATGCTTGTCTAAGTGCAGATTCTTGATTTCCTTTTCTGGAGATTATGATTCAGAAGGCCTGGGGCAGTGAGGGGAGTAAGGGACAGGGACTCTGTGAGAAAAGGCTCCCAGTGATTCTCTTGTATGGTAGGTTTGGGAGCCACTGATGTGTGTCTCATCTCTGCAGTCCACCGAGTGCATGCCGAGTGGTCCTAGTGAATCCCCCGAGGAGTTTACTGAGTGAGGTTTGTGACTGCAGCACTGACATGTCTTGGAGTGTCTCAGAGACCAGTTTAACAAGTTCTGCAGGATAGTCTGAGCCTGGGTACTTTAAAATGTGCTGTTTTCTCAGTTGATGTGACACTGACTCTATATTCAGGGAGCACCTCTGCCTGTGTTGAGTTGTGCTCCAGCTTTCTGCTGCATAATTCCTACTAAAAGGTCAAGTTGAGGAGTAGTATGTCTAGTATGGAAAACTTTCAGAAGGATGTACAGTGTGTCTGTCATTCAGATCGGGGTAGGCAAATGCATGACCTGTATGCTAACACCTTCCAGCCTTGTGCACTTCTTCCTTAGATCTGAATATGCCCCAGAATCCTGGTCAAAACCACACCCCTGGCAGCCACCATGCTGGGTCTAAGTAAGCATCAGTTTATCATCCCGGCTATCTGTGTGGATCAGGCCAGACTGTCAGACACCCTGTGCTTTGGTCTCTTGTGGGTGTTTTAGCATTAGAAATGGTTATGTTCGTGTTTTTTTCCTGTTCTTAAAATAACACGTAACCTTTGGCTGGGCACGGTGGCTTATGCCTATAATCCCAGCACTTTGGGAGGCCCAGGTGGGTGGATCACAAAGTCAAGAGATTGAGACCATTCTGACCAACATGGTGAAATCTCATCTCTACTAAAAATACAAAAATTAGCTGGGCATGGTGGCACATGCCTATTAGTTCCAGCTACCTGGGAGGCTGAGGCAGGAGATCACTTGAACCCGGGAGGCAGAGTTTGCAGTGAGATGAGATCACGCCACTGCACTCCAGCCTGATGACAGAGCAAGACTCCGTCTCAAACAAACAAAAAGGTAACCTTTATTGAGCACCTACTTTGTGTCAAGCACTGTGTTAAATGCTTTAAATAAATTAACTCATTCAATCTATATAAAACCTTAGGAAGGAGGTCCTGTTGTCACCCTTATGTCATAGATGAGAAATTGAGGCACAGAGAAGTTAAATAACTTGCCCAAGACACATAGCTACCAAGTGGCTAGTCAGATTCACACCTAGGGAGGTGGCTCCAGAGCCTGTGTTCCCAGCCATGAATTCTGTAACTGATAGTTTCCCTCTTGGTGTTGGTGGCGAGGAAGCAGCTTGCTAAATTTGCCAGAGTCTTCTGTCCAAGGGATAGGTTTGCATAGTATTTATCTTCCTTTCCTACCCTTCATTTCCTGCCTGCCAGTGGAGCAGAGCTAGACTCTCAGCCCGGTGCTTTGGGAGGGGAAAATGTTTGCCAGCTCTTTAAGCACAGGTGTTCATTGCTGAAATTCGTCAGTAATCACAGCACCTGTTCAGAAAGCCCCTAGCATGCCCACCTCTGGTAATTACCTATTAGAAACTTAGCATCCGTAGTATTATCTCAGCCTTGCTTGTATCCTTTTATATTTTCAGCATAGTTGAATGCTCTCTGGCTACTCACGCATTCAGAAAATATTCCAAATTTCACTATTTCTGCCCTAATTCAGCCCTTTTGTTCCTCCTTAAAAATTGGTTCTACTAGAGCTGCAATTTTGAGTCCAGGTTCAACTTTTGACTCTATCATGTTCAAATTGGGAGGCTTTAGATTAATTGCTTTCCACCATAATCTTCAGTTTCCTAATCTGTGAGTTTATCTCAGGGTTTATTAAGATCAAATGAGATAAAAATGTGACAGCACCTTGTAATCTGCTGTTAGGGATTATGCTAGATTTTATCTCCTGCTTGATAACTAAACCATGTATTTTTTAGAATCTCTTCTCCAGTGGAGGATATACCAGTTCTTCAGTGAGTTCCACTGCTCACCTCAGGACCTTTCCCTACATGGTTATGCCATTTATGCACTCATTTACTCAACTCATTTATTTGACAAAATTTACTGAGCTCGGTTGTGGATCAGCTACTATGGTAGGGGCTGGGGAAGCAACATGCAAGGAACCCTGCCCTGTCCTTGGAGAGCCTGCCATTGAGTAGGAGAGACAGTTAGAGAAAGAGGGCTCAAGTGCAGCCAGAGGCGACCTTCTAAATACATACTATAAGGCCAAGTTGCTCAGATGAGGGTCACTGACTTAGCCTGGTAAAGGGTGGTCTGGAAGCTGCACGGAGCAGGTGAGATCTGAGCTGATTCCTTCAGCAGGGGTGTGCTGAGTAATGAGGACAGGAAAGTCCTGTGGTGGGGTCAGGATGGTGAAGGTGGTGTTGGGGAGGGAGGGTAGTAACTGGTGAGTGTGGCTGGAAGGTGTGATGTGGGAGCGGGAGGAAGTGAGGTTGGCAAAGCAGACAGGTCTCTGACAATCAGAAGCTGGGGAGTGACAGATTTGGGTTCAGAGAATATCATTTGGGGTGGCATGGAGGATGGGCAGGAGGGGAACCAGACTGCAGGCAGGGAGACACTGAGGTGGAGCTTTCTGCATTTGAGTTGGTTTCAGTTTGCCTTGTCCCTTTCTGCTCTGGGAGGGGTGGCCAAGAGGCCCAGCCCCCTGCTGTTGATGGAGCTGGGTCACTAGGCTTTCACTCCGTAACTGAGGAGCCCCATACAGTTCAGGTTCATGTCCCAGGAGGTATTCAGCCCGAGCCTCGGACAGAGTTCAGCTCTGGCTGCCAGCTGCCAGCTGCCAGGAGGAGGGAGGTCCTGTGTTTAGATCAGGTGCAAAACCGGCTCCTGGAAAGAAAGACTGAGCATCGAGAAGCCCAGAAAGCTGCCTCACAGATGCAGATATGACAGTGGCTTTGCGGTCTGGGAAACGTGGCGTAGACAGCCCCTCTCTTGTCATTGTTTCCTTGTTAGCCCAGGGCCGCTTCCACCTCAGAGACACACAGCTCCCAGCCCACCAGAAACACCACAGAACAGAATTTTTCTGCCCTCTAGTGTTAAATAAGGAAGAGATTTTGCTGGGAAGAGGCATCTGTTTTCCTTCTCCTGGTATTAGGAAGTTGGTGGGTGCAGATCTCTCTCTCCAGGGGCCCAGCAGTGACTTCATTGAGAAAAGTCTGGCCCAGGCTGGCTCCTCAGCCACCTGCAGTAAACATTCCTGCCAGCAGGTGGCAGCAGGCCTCCGGACCATGGTGCCCAGCCCATCTGCTGACCACAGCCCTGCCACACCTCTTGGCATGGGATGTGTGTGTTTGGGGATGGGGAGGGTAGAAATGAATCAGATATGGGCCCTGCCTGTCTGGGAAGTTAGAGCACAGACAGAGAGACAGATTCCAGGCTATAAAGCATAATAAAATGGTCAGTCTGAAATTCAGGAGGCAGCGTGGTGTAGGGGAAAAAGCAAGAGCAGCGGGATTCACACAGACCTGTTCTGACCCCGATGCCACACTTTACCAGCCAGGTAACCTTTGGCACGTTGAATAATGTAACATGAGCAATTATAATAGCTAACAATCACCGACACTGATGTGATGCTGCCTGTGGCCAGGCACAGAGCCAGGTGCTTTACATATAACTCATTTAATCCCCAGCAACCCTTGAAGTAGGTACAGTTATAGCCCCATTTTACAGATCAGGAAATGAAGGCACAGAGAAACTTAAGTTCTTCCTGAAGGTCATATAGCTAGTGGTGGGGAGAGCTGGCTTTGAACCCAGGCAGGGCAGCTGCTCACCTTAATGATGGTACACCTGCATCTGTGGGGCTGGAACAGTGCCTGGCACAAGAATAAGACCTCTTATTATGAGAAGCTGTCAGGACTAATACTTCATGACAAATAGGGACTACATAAGCTGTCTCCTGATTGCTCTGCGTTTAGTGTCACTCATTCTCCATCTTCCTGGCAGATTCGGGCATGTGAGTGTGGCACACCTCCTGTTGGATCATGGAGCTGATGTCAATGCCCAGAACCGGCTCGGGGCCAGTGTGCTCACTGTGGCCTCTCGGGGTGGCCACCTGGGTGTGGTGAAGCTGCTCCTGGAAGCTGGTGCCTTTGTGGACCATCACCACCCCTCAGGCGAGCAGCCGGGGTTGGGCAGCATCAGGGATGAGCCCCTGGACATCACAGCCCTGATGGCCGCCATCCAGCATGGGCATGAGGCTGTGGTGCGTCTACTGATGGAGTGGGGCGCAGACCCCAACCACGCAGCCCGGACGGTGAGCTGGAGCCCGCTGATGCTGGCTGCACTCACTGGGCGACTTGGAGTGGCCCAGCAGCTGGTGGAGAAGGGCGCCAACCCTGACCACCTCAGTGTGCTGGAGAAGACTGCCTTCGAGGTTGCGCTGGACTGCAAGCACAGGGACCTTGTAGACTACCTGGACCCGCTGACCACCGTAAGGCCCAAAACAGGTCAGGCTGCATGCCCCCTGGGACTTTACAGAGGACCCCAAATTGTGCTTATGTGGCTTACGCTGAGGATTGCTCTACTGGAAGTACACACAGAAATCAGAGTCCAGCCCTGTAGACTAGTGAGACTGAGGAAGTGATGTGCTTAAGTATGGAGGAGATTGCCTGTGACATGCAGGTTCCAGCCCAGTCTCTGGAGAGTCTGATTTTAGTAACCTTGAGCAAGAGCCTGGAAGCTTCTATAGCAAGGCCATTCTCCCCAACCACATCATTCTGATGCAGGTGGTTCTGGGGTCCCTGAACAAGGTTTGGCAAACTTTTTCTGTAGAAGGCCAAATAGGCTATATGGGCCATACAGTCTCTGTTAAAACTACAGTGGTCAATTCTGCTAGTGTGAAAGCAGCCTTACGTAAGTAATGAGTAAATGAGTAGATGTGGCTATACTTGCAATATGTAAATGAGTTGGGTTTGGCTAGGTTCCAATAAATTATTACAAAAACAGGCAGTGGGGCATATTTGAGCCATGGGCTATAGTTTGCCAGCCCTTGCTCTACAATAGTGTGCCTGACGTCCTCTGCCCTGACCATTCCCCAAACACTAATTCATGTAAAATTGGTGAAAATTAGTTTTTTAAAAAAGATCTAGCTGTGCATTTTTTTTTTCCTTCTTGCCATCTCCCTGGCATGTAAAAAGTTGTCTGAACAATCCTGAGCAAATCTGCCACATGACATACCGCGTTTCAAAACCTCTAATGCACCATTTGCAGTAAGATCCCAGGGCATAACAGCAGGTGGGCAGCAGTGTATATAAGCATCTAGAAATGAGAGGTAAAAAACTGAAGAAAGTTATCTTCAGGTACATTGGCTAAAAAGACTTGAAAGTGTTAAGTTTGTTACCATTGAAAGAATATACAATAGCCCCATCAATCAAGAGATGCTGAAAATTTGGTAAGTGCTTATTAGAAATATACCATCCAAAAAAAATAAATAAATATACCATTCAATCAGAACAAGTCTGAAATAAATATATTTTAAAAGTCTGTAATGACAGAGAGGTGGCAATAATGAAGAGGACACTCAAATGAAAAGCAAAAAGTAGTGAAGGTTAGGAAGACCTATCTGAAGCCAAGAGACCTCTTACTTTGTCCAGGTGGGAAACTGAGGCCCAGAGAGGGAGGAAAGCTGGTCAAAAGTCACACACCCATTGGAAGCTAAGTGAGTGACTCTCAGAAGGTGAGGATTCCATGGGAAGAGCACCTTGAGGTGACTTTGCCCACCTGCAGCTCCTGCAGGGGCTCTAGAAGCTGATTTTTCACATGCCTCTCCTAAGCTTTTGCTTCATCTGTGAAATGGACACAATGACAGCAACTACTGCAGGTGGTGGTGAGCAGAAGGCTGGTTATCCGGTTCACCTTTGACGTGTGAGACACTCAGCCTGGTAGAGTGTTAGGGCCTCATAAAGGCTTGCAATTAGAAATTAGGGACCCAGTCTTCCAGGACAGGGTTTTTGTTTTGTTTTGTTTTTTTCTGACATAAGGCCATTGCTCTTTAAAGATTTGGGTTATTTGTGGCGGGGGTGGGGAAGGGATCTGTCTTTCCCAGGCCCTGCCGTGCCCAGCGTACCTGCTGTGCTGAATCTCCCCTCACCTTCACAGGGACCCTCTGAGGAGGGTGTTCTCCCATTTTGCAGCAGAGGGAACTCAGGCTTAGAAGTGGGCACTCCTTAACTTGCACCCGCCTGTGCCTACCGAGCTGTGCCTCGTCTGCTGTGTGTGTGTTCTCCTTCCCAGGTTTCCTCAGCCTCTGCATCTTGAATCTTCATGGAGTGCCCTCGGGCTGCTTCTGACAGGCCTCATTTTAGGATTGTCTTGCATTGTGGGATGGTGATGTCCTCATTTCCCCAAGATACAAAGGCTCAGACACATTGGTGGATGTGGCCAAGGTCACCATCTACTTGGTTCAACCTTGGCTGTGCCACTGCTGGCCAAGGGACCTTGAACTGATTGTCTGAGTTCAGCAAGCTCCCCTTTCCTTTTCCACAAATGGGTGGTAGGACTGACACCACCTCAGGACTGCTGTGGGGCATCATGTGAGATCCTTCCTGGCCCTGAGGGAGCACATCACAAATGGCATTACTCCATACTGTTGTTGGCATATTTGATGGGAGCAAACCTTGGGTCTTCCAGCAGGATTGGGTCATGTTCCCGTCAAGCAGACCCAGTCTGAGGCTCAGTTCTCCCTCTCTGTACCAAAGTGGTCTTGGTCATGTATAATTGGCCCTGCAGGACTTCAATGCCTTTTTTTGTAAAACAGTCATAATAAAGTCACTTTTCTTGGGAGGTTTTGTGAGGAATAGTAAGATCATGCCTATAAAATTTTTGTCATAGTGCCCTAGCACATAGACAACATCCAGTAAATGGAAGCTGCCATGTTTTGATTGATCATACATTCATTCTGATACTTTCCAAAGATGTACTGAGGCCTGCTATGTACCAAGCACCTTTCTAAGCACTTTGGATACATCAATGAACAAATGAGACCCAAATCCCTGCCACTGAGTACTATGGCCTCCATAAGGGGAGACAGGCAGTAAAGAGGAAATAAACATATTAAATATATAGTAGGATAGGTGGTAAGTGCCATAGGCTTAAAAAAAACAACAAGGGCAATGTAAAGAGGTTGGCTGTGGCAGAGCTGGGACAATGCAGTCTGCTCTGTGAAATGGAGTGGTTGGGCAACCTTGAGAAGGCGAGGCTGTAGCAGACATGCGGGAGCTGAGGGAGTACATTGGCCCTGGGGGAATCCCTGGGAAGAGCCTCAGGTAGGGTGCAGACTGTGCTATTGATAATGACAGATGATAAAATAATAGGAGCCCCAGCTCTTACTGTGCAGTGCCCAGAAATCCAGCCCTCACCAGGGCCTTGGAGGTCCCCTGGTCTCTCCCTTGCCTTAGCAGCAGGACTGTCATTGTGATACCCCTGACTCCCCACTGAGGTTGTGGTGTGGAGGTTGGAGCAGATTTATTTTCCTTGGGATGTGGCAGGGTCCCGGGCTGCTTAGATATAGATGATAAAACTGATGCCCAAATCGAGGAAGAGACCAGCCCAGAGTCACTGGGTGTCAGGACACAGCTGCCCCTGCCTCCTGGGGTCGCACTTGGCTGTCAGTTAACTTGTGTCAGATGGTTGCTTAGCAGCCAACATAAGACCAGGTAATACTCTTTTCTTTGAAAAGGTCTTAGCATGAGAAGTCCCCAGCCCATAGCAAAGTTGGTTCTTGAATACTTGAAGGAACATGACATATTTTTTAAAAATCAGGTACAGAATTGTTACTGGATAGTATTTCACAGGCAGAATTAGATACTGTGTTCCATGTAGTGTCTTTACTTCCCATTAAGAATTCTGGATTTCTGGCTGGTGACTCATGCCTTCAATCCCAGCAGTTTGGGAGGCCAAGGCAAGCAGATCACTTGAGGTCAGGAGTTCCAGACCAGCCTAGCCAACAGGGCGAAACGCTGTTTCTACTAAAAATACAAAAATTAGCCGAGTTTGGTGGCATGCGCCTATAATCCCAGCTACTTGGGAGGCTGAGGCACGAGAATCACTTGAATCCAGGAATTAGAGGTTGCAGTGAGCTGAGATTGCACCACTGCACTTTAGCCTGGTTGACAGAGCGAGACTCCATCTCAGAAAAATAATTCTGGGGTTCACCTTTCTGGTTGCTAATAAAGAAAATAATTGCTCTTTGGATGGGGCCTTAACATTATCATTTGATCCCTGCAACAGCCAGGTGAGAGGGCTCTTATCCCCATATTCGTGATGAAGAGGCAGCTTACTCTAAAAATGTACACTGAAATTCACATGCGCTGACTCCACACTCAGTGTTCCTTGCCCCAGGCTGCAGCTTCCGCCCAGCTGCTCAAGTCCAGGTCAGCCCAGAGTCACAGGTGCCTTCTGGCAGCTGCTCCATCCCCCAGGATCAGTTAAAGGCTGCAGAAGGCCTGCGTTCAGCCACCCAGCAAGTGGACTGGCCATGAGGATATCTGCTCTGATAGGAGCAGGGTACTCCTTGGTCCAAGCTTGGAGGAAAGTTTGGGATGAGTATGTGAGGGAGGGACTGGCATCTGGTGGCTGCAGCAAGGCTCAGCTGTGCAGGTAGATGTGGGGTCTGGTCCCAGCCTAGCAGCTGGGCTTCAGGGGACAGCATGAAGACACCCAGTTGGGCAGTGGCCTTTGGGCAGCTGCGTATGCAGGTTTGGGGCAGGGAGCATGTTCTGATTGCTTCTTACGTGGGAGGGAAGGAAAACTGAACATTGGATCTTCTGTTGGCTGTGGCTGTGAACTTCCTTAGAGCTCAGCTGTTCAGTATCTCAGGGGTCCTCTGCTTTGGAATTCAGATTGTACATTTAGTTTTTAGAAGAAAAAAATGTTTTTTTTGAACATTTTTCTATAGTAATCCAGGATTTTCCAAGACCCTAAGACTTTTCAATATATCTAAGAAAGGATATGTCAGTGTTTGTTTCACCTAAAAATGATTGCTTTATTTGCATGAGATCAGGCCATGATCTGCTGCTCATTTGTGTTTGTTGGCAAGATTGTCTCTGAAGTGTTTTCAGATATTCTTTGGTAATAAACCTTCCAGAAGAGCTGCTGGATTTATCCATTACACAGGTCTGCAATTAGATTGCTTTTGAGAATTAGATGCTTTTTAAAGCCAGGCTGTGTTGTTACACCTTTGTGACTTTTCTGTTTTATTAAACCTTTCCGTGGTTAACTTTAAAAATCTTTGTTTACCCAGATGAGGAGAAAAGGCGACCTGATATTTTCCATGCATTGAAAATGGGTAAGCACTTTAGAAAATCTTTTTGGATATTTAAGAATACAGGGCTACGTTCTCCCATCCTAATATTTGTAGTCCTTTTCAAGGCCACCCAGGGTATTTGAGAGAGAAACAGGCATTCTGGTGTTTGTTGTTTGGAAGTTCAGATCTTGGAGGCCAGTAGTTATTATAGAGCTCTACACATAGACTCTAGATGGCCTTCAGCCCCACTCCAGCCAAACACTAGCTGGCTATGCCCCAGTCTTCCTGACTCTGAAATGCCTCTCTGCACACCCACTTCAGTCTCTTTGTGATGAAGAGGCATTTAGTGTAAAATTTTCTCTCTTTTTATAGCCCCTGCCTCCAAGAAGCCCTTCCTGATCCTCATCCTGCAGCAAGACCTGAGCTCTTCTGTCTTTTTCTGTCTCATTCATGTGTTCTCTGAAGACACTAACAACACTTCTCTCTTTTAGTAACACTTCTACCCGTTCGTGTGCTTGTCTCCATCCCGCGTAGACTGAGGCATTCAAGAGTCGGGGCTACCTCCAGGCCTTCTTAGTATTCCCTATGATGCCTAGCAGCCCACTGCAGGGGCAGGGCCAGCAAGTGTTTGTTACATGAACCATGGGATAAATCAGCCTGTGGTGCCAGGCCCACAGATCACCCGGACTCCTGCTTGTGTTTGCAGGAAACTTCCAGCTGGTCAAAGAGATTGCTGATGAAGACCCCAGCCATGTGAACTTGGTCAATGGGGATGGGGCGACCCCACTGATGCTAGCGGCTGTTACGGGGCAGCTGGCGCTGGTGCAGCTACTGGTGGAGAAGCATGCGGATGTTGACAAGCAGGACAGCGTGCATGGCTGGACGGCCCTCATGCAGGCCACCTACCATGGGTCAGTGCCAGCTCCACACCCTCAGCGACAAGGCCAGACTGATGCTCTGGCCTAAGATGGGGATTCCTGGTGGCTCTTCTTTCCTGAGATGCTGTATACAAACCCCAGGACTGTGATGACATTGAGGCATGCAAAAAAAATGAAAGTGGCCCCTTTAATTCCCACACTTCTGTGTCCAGATTTCCTCTTACCCCATCAGAGAATTTCACCAGTGGCCATGAAAAACCATGCAGCAGGAACATTTTAGGCAGAGAGATAAGATTCTCTACGTTGGTTTCGGTTGAACACTGATTAGTTCATTGCAGTTTTTGCATTGAGATCTAGAGACCTCCTTAAGTAGCCCGTGTATGAAGTAAACATTGGTTATTCATACCATCGTCATCTTATGATTGGTGGTGAGGCGTGTCCTGCCTTTCTCCTTTTGAATAGGCGTCAGTGTTTACTGCGTGCTTGTGTGATCATTCCAGCAGGGTGGGCTGTCTCCTCTGAGGGGCCTCCTTTTTGGGGTGGGCATCTTGAGGCTGCTAAGTGGTCTGACTCCCAATTAGAGATTCTTTTGTTGCCCTCTTTCAGGTGATCAGATCACTTTCCTGTGTCATCTGAAAACAGTTTGTTTTCTTATTCAATTAGTGTTGAATTTCAAGACAAAATTTTATTTCAGACACCTTGGTCTGTAGGAGACTTTCCCAATGGAGATGCCCTTATTTAGGGTGGAAGTAGTGTGGTCTCCCATGGGGTCAGTGTTTGGGGGGAAGAGCCCTTGGTTTTCTTCTTCTTTTTTGAAACACAGTGTCTCACTTTGTTGCCAGGCTGGAGTGTAGTGATGTAATCGTGGCTCACTGCAGCCTTGACCTCCCAGACTCAAGCAATCCTCCCATCTTTGTCTCTCAAATAGCTGGGACTACAGGCTTATAGGCTTGCACCACCACACCCAGCTAATTTTCAAGCAAAATTTTTCGTAGCAACAAGGCCCCCCCCATTTCCCAAGCTGTTCTCAAACTCCTGGACTCAAGTGATCCTCCTGCCTCAGCTTCCCAAAGTGTTGGGATTACAGGCATGAGCCACTGCATCCATCCTTGGTTTTCATTTTGTTTCTGAAAAGAACACTTAGGACTTTGATTTAAATCATGTTCCCACTTGACCTACCCATATGCTAGAGAATGAGGGAGTGTGAGACTGCCCTTCCATGCCCTTCTTAGATGCTCGGAGACTGAGCTTTGTAGTTAATGTTGTTGGTTCTGTTGCCCGGGAGCAAACCCATGCTTTTGCTTTCATTGAATGTAACTCTAGCATTTTCTTCCCAGGAATAAGGAAATTGTCAAATATCTGCTAAACCAAGGGGCTGATGTCACTCTTCGTGCAAAAAATGGATACACGGCCTTTGACCTGGTGATGCTGCTGAATGATCCCGGTGGGTAATTTCAAGAAAAGGGTTGTAAATCTACCCAGCCTTTCTCAGGCTGGGAGTTAAGACAGCCACCTCCTCTGTGACCTGTGTTTTAAGCACTTCCTTTGACTTTGGGAGAAAGTCATTGTCAAGTGTCAGGAGCTTACTGCATGATCCTAGGCAAGTCCCTTCCTTCCCCACTGAAGCACTGGGCTTGGACCAGGTGATCCTGGAGGCTTCTTCCAGCACCAACCTTCTCGGAGTCTCCAGAGAGGGAAGGAAAACAAGACGTGTCTAACTTTACAGTCCACACAGACCCTAGAATGGCATCGGTGCTTCACAGCCAGAAACCCTGAGTCACTCAGGTGGAAACATAAAGATCCCTTTGACAAGCAGAATGGGAGATGGAACGTTGACCCCGCCTCGGCTTAATTGTGTAGGTAGAGGCCGCAGGGTCAAGGCTCCTATCGCCATTAGTTCCACCCCTCTTGGTCCTTGCCTGGTACCTGCTACTCCCCTTTGACCCTCCCCTGCTATGACAGGCCCTCTTTTGGGACCTGGGCTTCCAGTTAGCCAGCTCAAGGGAGAGGGTTCCTGATCTATCATCTTTCTTATTACCCTAGACTTTCAACCCAGAGACAGAGAAGCCTCGAGGTCCTTCTGACCCACTAGGCTTGAACCCTGTGCTGGGATCCTAGCTGCTGACTGTGGAGAGAGAAGACTTTTATCTCTGCAGTCACAAGTCACCTGCTGCCACTCTTAGCTAGAAGGGTAGCCAGCAGGCTTGCCTTTCCTCTTCACAGCACTGCCACCTTTGCCACCCCTTCCCTGCTGCAGTCCCCTGCACTTCACAGATGCACACTTGGTTCTATTTGACCCTCGAAGAGTTCTGAGAGGGGAAACAGAGGTTCACATACTCTTGAAGAGATATGGCCGCCAAGACTAGAGAAGTGATCTGTCACAGCCAGAGAGTTGAGGTCCTCTGCCCTAAGTCTAGTGATCCCACTCCACCTAATTGGAGACCTTCTTCAGGTGCCAGGAGTTTATTATTCGGAATCAGTCCCCAGCCACTCTCGCTGGATCTCACATGCTTTTTCTGACAGTGTTCCTCTTCTCCCTAGCTCCACTCCCGTTTATTCCCTTTTCCAATAAAACAGTCTATTCCTAGGAATTTTTTTCCTAGTGGGTTTTTAAATGAAGGTTTTACATAAAACTTTTGAAGAAACCCATCCCTATTATTGAATACTTGGAGAGAGAAAAGGGGAATAGTTGGCTGGGCGTGGATGGCTCACACCTGTAATCCCACCACTTTGGGAGGCTGAGGTGGGTGGATCACTTGAGGCCAAGAGTTCTAGACCAACCTGGCCAATATGGCAAAACCCCGTCTCTACTAAAAATACAAAAATTAGCCAGGAGTGGTGGCAGGCGCTGTAGTCCCAGCTACATAGAAGGTTGAGGCAAAGAATCACTTGATCCCAGGAGGCTGAGGTTGCAGTGAGCCAAGATCACACCACTGCACTTCAGCCTGGGCGACAAAGCAAGACTCTGTCTCAAAAAAAAAAAAAGAAAGAAAGAAAGAAAGGAAAGAAATAGTCATCAAGAAAAAGCATTGTTAATAGTTTGGAGTATTCTCAATATTGTTTGCAATGCTTTTTTTTGTAACCTAGTTGAGGTAATAGTAATTTTGTAATAATATATTTAAAGCACTTATATTGCACTAAAGGAGTTCCCTTGATTGGTACTAATGTCACTGACTTCTACAGAGGCACAGAGGGGCTTTGTAATTTACCTGTAGTTACACAGCCAGGAGGGACAGAGGCAGAATCTGAACCTCTGCACTCTGGCTGTGAAGCCTGCACTTTTAAACATACTCTCCCCCTGCCTTCCTCATGAAGAGGGCTTCCAATTTTTCTTTCTGGTTAAGTGGGTTAAGCCCTGCTGGCTTGGTTTGCCACCTTTTGAAAATCAGACAGAGAGACAGGTGCCCTGATTCTGGAATTACGCAGATCCTGGAGCTGCAGGGCTGAATTCTAAGTCTGACAGGGGTCATCTTGAGTCTTCTCATGGCCCAACAGACATATTTGCAGGTAAAATGCTGCCTTTTGTGTCCATAGACACGGAACTTGTTCGACTGCTGGCATCTGTCTGCATGCAGGTGAATAAAGACAAAGGCCGGCCGAGCCACCAGCCACCCCTACTCCACTCGAAGGTCCGACAGCCCTGGAGCATCCCATTGCTGCCCGATGACAAGGGTGGGCTGAAGGTTTGCCTTTTCCTGTCTTAAAGGGGCTTAGGGGGCCAGGGAAATGGGGACTGGTGGGGAACCTGCTGCCTCCTCTACACCAGCCTGGTTTATGCTGGGGAGTCCCAGCAGGGGTGGCAGGTGAGCTGACAGTGAGCCATAGGAAATGAGGGGGACCAGGACAGTGACTGCTTTGTAAGAATGTGGGTCCACGCCTGTAATCACAGCTACTCCGGAGGCCGAGGCAGGAGAATTGCTTGAGCCTGGGAGGCAGTGGTTGCAGTGACCGAGATTGAGCCACTGTACTCCAGCCTGGGTGACAAGCAGGACCTTGTCTAAAAAAGAATGTGGGTCCATATTGCTAGATCTCTCTTTTTTTTTTTTTTTTTAGAAAAAATAGAAATCCAGATTTTGATATAGAATCTTAATTTATAAGTACAGGGAATTTTTAAAATTCTGCACAGTGCAGTACTAAGCTGGCCGAAGCAAACACTTCTCTTCCCAGGGAATCCGTTTGCAGCCTCTGCTTTACTGTGCAGGACATTTGCTGATGATGTCATTTTGGGTCTCCCTGCAGTCCACAGGCCCCGCCACCTTCCTGGAAACACCAGAAACAAGCTCTGGTGACTGATTGTAACTGCAAGCTGAGACTTTCTCTTTAGATTTCTCATCTTCCACGCCCTACTTTATTTGTTTGAGATCAAACTTACTTTATGCCTGAGAAAACAAAACAACACCCTGGCCTTGTCTGCTGACCTCTCCACTCTGCATGGGGTGGCAGCGCCTTCTGAAGGCTGCAGACTTCGGCGCTTCTTTCATGTCCATTGCTGGCCCAAGCTCTGCATCCTTCCTCACTGTGCTGTTCTCATGGCCCCCTTCGTTCCTGCTCTTAACTGCCGTTTCCATAGGCCAGGCCCTCACAGATGCCCTTTGTGGCTGCTCATTAACTTCCGAGTGGTCATGGGTTATAAGCGTCCCTGGGAGCTAGTGCCTGTCCTCTCTAGGTGGGGATCAGCTATAGGAGCAGCTTGCCCAGGCCCTGGTATAGAGATCCTGATGCGTCTCATGTTATCGCTGGAGGAGGAGGAAGGAGGTTATGCAGTGATAGACGCCTAGGGAACTGGAGCTGCCTCTGTTTCCATCTGTCCCTGTCTCACTGTAAGACCTCAAGCAAGTCAGTATTCCTGTCTGGGTCTCCATTTCTCAGTCTGTGCAATGAGGAGATTGATTAGGTGAGGGATGGCAAATAGGGTTCACTGCCACCTCCAGGCTATTGGAAATTACTGTCTAAGGGCTGGGTCAGGAGAGATTTAGTGAGCAACCACGGCCTATTGGGAATGGGCACTGTGGCTGATCAGGAATGTCTGTCCGGACCCCAGGAGACAGGAGGGCAAGTACATGTAATGTAGTCACTGTCCCTGGGCTGGGCGGGTCCTGGGCCTGCCTTCCTTACCCTTCCTGGAGCATGACTTCTGCTCTGCATTCCTTTGGCAGTCCTGGTGGAACCGAATGTCCAATCGGTTCCGAAAGCTCAAACTGATGCAGACGCTTCCCCGTGGGCTATCTAGCAACCAGCCTTTGCCTTTCTCTGATGAGTCTGAGCCAGCTTTGGACTCCACAATGAGGGCCACCCCCCAGGACAAGACAAGCCACTCTGCACTCCCTGATGCATCTCCTGTGACCAAAGACAATGGTGAGAAAAGTCTGCATGTGCAGCAGAATTTGTGGAATGGTCTGAGCCTGCACCCTCTGCCCTTTGTCCTACCTCCTGGGCTGTCATCAGGGGTGAGATGATGTTGGAATGTGACACTGGAGCAGAGGCTGGTCTGGTAGAAAAGAGACTTAGGCAGGGATACAACCACCAGGAGTGTGATAGAATGAGAAGGTGCTGGCCAGGGGCAAAAGGCTCAGGTTCCTGTCCCACATTCCCTGCTGAGGGACAACAGGCTACTCAGTGCCTCTCTCTTGCCTTTGATAGATGGTTTTCCCACCTATGAAATGTGATTGGTCTATGACCCTGAAAGCATCTTGAAATAAAATGAGTTACTGGGAGGGTGTGAGTAGTGAGCTCCCCATCACTCGAGGTATTTAACAGCTTGGATAACTTCGTCAGTTTGCTGAAGGAGCTTCCCATACTGACTGGAACATCGATAAAATCCCTTCTAACAGTCAGATTCCCCATAACTGGATTAGCTCCTCTGGTACCACTGTCCGAGACAGACTATTGAGCTGAGGTCACCACTGTCTGACCCAGCACAACAGTGGTTTATGGAAAAGCTGAAAACATGCTCCAATATACCTTTTAAGTGCCTTCCTTCTATTAAAATATTGAATACCAATTATTGTTAAATATTTAAGCACCCAGGAGAGTTGGTTTTCCAGGATGAAGCTTGCCCCACTCACTCATCCTTATGCTGTGGACACGTGGAGGGGTCATTTCAGGAAATTTCCATTTGTCTCTCAGGTCCTGGGAGCACAAGGGGAGAAAAGGAAGACGCGTTATTGACAATCATGGTGAGCATGGGGTCTTTCTAAAAGCATTTTAGGTCTCCACCAATCATTAGTTGATTGATTTGCAAAGAGGGATGTGGGCGTTTGTCTTTGTGGTGGTCACAGATGGGGTTGGTGATCAGAATGTTTAACAATGGGTTCAGCTCTGGCACTGAGGAGTCAGAACAGATGTCAGCCCTAAACTCTGGAGGGCTGTGCTGGTGCTCAGCTGATGGGTGTCAGCCCTGGCCCTGTTCTCAGGGAGGCAGGGGATTGAGGGAATAGATCAGGAAGGAGGGAATTGATGGGCAGCGTGAGACATGGAGACTCACCATTTGGGCTGTGGAGAACCAGAGAGAGAGGAGTCAAAGAGAAGAGTATATTTTCAGCTGAGGAGGCCTCAGTTTCCTCATCTATACACTAGAGATGTATTAGGATTAGGGTCGACTGTGAGTAACAAAGTCCCCAAATAACAATGGTGTAAATAGGTTAGCAGCCTATTTCATTCAAGTAAATAAAGTTCAGAACTAGTATATGGCTCCTTGGAGCTAGGGACTTTCTGTCTGTTGTTCCCCCAAGTGTAGTTTCTATTTCCAAGGTCACCTCTTGGTTCAAGATGGCTGCTGGAGCTCTGGCCATCATGGCCTTATTCCAGCTAACAGGAGAGAAAAGGGGAGAAAAGATAGCCATGGACACATGCCAGCGGTCTTTAAAGAAGCTTCTTGGGCCAGGTGTGGTAGCTCACACATGTAATCCCAGCACTTTGGGAGGCCGAGGTGGGTGGGACCAGCCTGGCCAACATGGTGAAACCTGTCTCTACTAAAAATGCAAAAATCAGCCAGGCATGGTGGCAGGCAACTGTAATCCCAGCTACTCGGGAGGCTGAGGCAGGAGAACCACTCAAACCTGGGAGGTGGGGATTGCAGTGAGCCAAGATCACGCCATTGAACTCCAGCCTACACAACAGAGCAAGGCTCTGTCTCAAAAAAAAAGAAAGTTCCTTGGAAACTACTCTGCTTATATCACAGTAGGGAAGCTTGGAAATGATGTCTTTGTTTCAAGTGGTCCTGTGCCCATCTAAATAATCATCAGGGGTGTCATTTCTGAGATGTGAGAAATACATACTGACTTAGGGAATGGTTATGGTTTTTAAACAAGATCGCTCCCAAGAAGTTCTTAGCATAGTGCCTGGCCCAGAATAAGCTCCATAGTGTGACCTTGGATGTGTTACCTCCCCGCTCTGGGCTTTACATTCCTTTCTTCTGACAGGAGAGCCTAATGGTTAAAGTTGGACTTGAGTCCCTTTAGCACTAAGACCCTAATACTAGCCAGCAGAGGGCAGTATTGCAGAGGACCAGGGAGCAGAGGACTCCGAGGAAAGGCATCAGCAGCATCCATCAGGAACTGCAGAGCCCAGCGAGGGCTCCTGACCTGATCTGCCCGCGGCTCCCTGCCACCCCAGCAGGTGTAAATTGATGGCTCTAACACTGACTGTGGGGCTTGTGCTGCCTGACATTTGATCATGTTATTAAATAGCAATAATTACTTTTGGTGCGAAGACAGAAATGCTATTTTAGAAATTTTGGAAGAAGCAGTAAAACATAAGGAAAATAAATTCACCCTTGATCACACACCCAGCTATAACCATGGTTAGCATTTTATGGTATATGTCTTTTGAATATTTTTTGTAAGCAGTTTTTAGCATGTATAAATGTGATATTATGTCATATATAATAATAGCAAATGCCATCACTCTAAGTACCAGCTACTGTTCACAGCACTTTGCATGTATTAGCTCATTTAATATTCCTGAGGTTGGCCCTGTTAGTATCTTTCCCATATTGTGTTGAATCCAATTTATTTGCAGTTTATATGTTGTGACCATCTTTTCCGTGTCACCAAACACCATGTAGCCACATCATATTTAATGGCTACATTAGAACATTCCAGTGTAAGAACATGTCTCTTTATCCAAGGCTGAACTGTCAGACTCTGGGATTTCTGGTTTTTTGTTATTTTAACAGCTCATATGAATGTCCCTATGCCTTCATTTCCCCCACTTGCCTGTTTATTAGCTCAGGATGAACATCTAGAAATTGAATTCCTGGGTCAAAGGTGGTGAATGTCATTGGCTTCCAGAAAGGTAGCAACAATTCAGACTCTCACCCGGGGGGGAAAAGGCCCTTTTGTGGTGGTGGGTTTGCTACTGTGAGTGTGCAGCCCAACCCCGTTTGCTGGATGGGCTTGTTGTGGTCTAGAGGGAAAGAGGGGACAGCATTTGTTTCCAGACTTTCAGAAAAGCAGGACAGAGCCAGCCTAGGAACCTGGGAGGTGTACTCCTTCCCCCACCTCTCATGCCCTGTAGAGGGCATCAGTGTGCCTGCCCGCCCATAGTGGGTAGGAGTGGCCCAGCTGCCCTGCTGATGGGCATGTGCAGCCATCAGTGTGGAGATGCCTGCCTGCTTGGCTCCTGAGGCGGGTTTAGCTGTGGGGTGCCCATTGCTGCAAAGCACCATCTGGCACAAAGTTCACTTTCTTTTCTTAATTAAGGTGAGCATGGTCTAAGAACACTTTGCTTGATGATCCAACAATCATTACTGTGTGGAGTTTATACTGACCCCCAAATCACATTTTCAAAATTTAAAATTAAATTACAATTAAATGTCAGCAGTAGGAGGCATGACTGGAGCAAGCTGGGATTTGGGGTCTGGGGAAGAGAATGGTGCTGGTCCCCAGCCCTTTCCTCTCCCCCTTCCTCCTCCACACCCCAGGGCTGCTCCTGCTAGACTCCTGGTCCCCTGCCCTTTCCTCCTCTGGCCCCCAGGGCTGCTCATGCTGGTCTCCTTGCAGCTCTGCACCTGTATCCTGCTCCTTTAGGCTCCAGGCCTTTCCATATTCTGGCCCCTCACACAGACTGGAATGCCCCTCCTGGTCCTCAGTGGGCCAGCTTGCACTGTTGTTCAGTCCCCGAAAAGGGGCCCTCTCACAGCAGCAGGGGTGCCCCTCCTCTGTGCTCTCCCAGTTCCCCTGCCTCCCCCACAGCATACCAGCATCACCTGCTTCTCCTTGGCGCTCTGTCCCCTCTGCTCCGTTCTGATCTTGCTGCTGTGAGGACAGATCCAAGAGAAGCCTGGAGTTGGTACAGAGCAGACATGGACGTTGCATGGAGGAGAGCTTCAGATGCCACTTAGCTCCCAGCTTGGGTGGAGGGGCGGATGGTGGTGTCTTGCCCTGAGAAGCAGGAAAAACCTGGAGTCTTTCCCACAGAGTTGGGAGCCCACCTGGGCTAATCTAACCCTCAGCCTGTCTTTTTCAGCTTCGAAACGGAGCTCCCCTCACCAGACTCCCGAGTGACAAGCTGAAAGCTGTCATCCCGCCATTCCTACCCCCTTCCAGTTTTGAGCTGTGGAGCTCTGATCGGTCCCGGACGCATCACAATGGGAAGGCAGACCCCATGAAGACTGTGCTGCCCCAGAAAGCCAGCAGGGGCCACCCCATGGGCAGTGGGAGCACAGATACCGTGAGTTGTCTTCTGACACACTTTTACACATCACTTACTGTTTGCTGAGATCATTGTGTGTACTAGGCTGAGGGACCTCAAACTGATGAATCCAGAGGGGTTGTAGCTTCTTTTTCTTTTCAATGGATGATATCCTTTTGTCTAATGAAGCCCTGCAGAGCACCTCAATATGCAAAATAGGTTAAAATATTGAGGTAGTAGGGAACATCTGTTCCCTCACTAGAACCCTAGAGCTCCGAGGAGCACAGTTTGAAGACCTGATCTATCTATCTCATCTATCTTTTAGTAGATGAGGAAACTGGGACCCAGAGAATGGGAATAATAGCTGAAGATCACCAGCCAAGTGTGGGTGAACCTGGGCAGAAATCAGATCCTTGGCTGATAATCAAGTCCCACGCCACATTACTGCTCAGGTCCATGATCAGGATCAAACACTCAGAGGCCACTGTGTGTGCTACTGGTGTTTTCTTGTGCCCAAGAATGTGACCTCTATCCTTTTGCCTGTAGTGATTTTTAACTTGGTTGCTCTTGGTCTGTTTCTGAAATTGACAGTGCCATCAGTGTGGGAGGTATCTCTGTGTAGCCTGTACCTAGATGCAGCAAATGGGCAAGATGGAGGGATTCAGAACTGACCCTGTTGCTGTGTGCTGGGTGACTGGAGAAACTTGTGGCCTCCATCTCTATAAGACGGGGCTGACCCTAGCACTCACTGCTGCTTCCTCCGGCTATGGCAGTATCAGATCACCAGCAGGAGACCGAGTGCCTGGCCCCTGGAGATGCTCTCAAAATAGGCAAGACAGGTTTGCGTTTAGTCCACTATTCTCGGTTAGGTAGGAATATGGGGGAGTTGTAGAACCCATCCCTGAGACATCTATGGCTGCGTTTCCTTGTTAACCCTAGAGGGACAGAACATCAACCTGACCTGCTTCACTCGCTCAGTAGACATTCACTGAATCCTGCTGCCATGTAGCCTGGTCAGCCCCATTCTGCCCTAGAAGAGGCGGTGGTCTGGGTGGCAAAGACACAGGCACAGCACAAGAGGCAGGGAATGGTGTTAGGGGTGTGGGAGCACCAGAGAGGTGACTGTGTGTGATAGGGCACTCGGGAGGCCTCCAGGAAGAGGAGACAGCCGAGCTGGGATCTGCAGGCTGTGGCACAGTTTTCTCCCCAGTGGAGGGCAGGCAGTAGCATCCCAGGTAGTGGGTGAGAGAACATGAGCTATGGCCTTTGCAAGTGTGTTCTGTTTCACTTACTCAGCAGATGGGTCTCATTCTGGGCCCTGGGGATCTGTCACTGTCCCTCTCTTAGGAGTGCCCACAGTGGGGGACCAAAAAGAGGATCTTCGTTTTGGTGTCCTGTGGCTGCTGTAACAAAGTCACCACAAACTGTGTAGCTTAAAACAACAGAAATGTATTCTCTCACAGTCCCGGGGCAGAAAGCCTGAACTCAAGGTGTCAGCGGGGCCCCACTCCCTCCAGAGGCTCCGGGGGCTCCGTTCTTTCCTCTGACAGCTCCTCTTGGCTCTAGGCTTCACTTGGCTTGTGGCTGCGTCACTCCAGTCTCAGCCTCCATGATCACATTGCTTCCTCGTTTGTCAGAATTCTCTCTGCCTTCTGTCTTATGAAGATACATGTGATTGCATTTAGGGCCCACCTGGATAATCCAGGATAAGCTCCTCCTCTCGAAATCCTTGACTCGAGTACATCTTAGGTAAGCACACATAAGCTCGGCTTGACTCATACCTCATAAGGTAATAGTCAAAGGTTCTGGGAATTAGGACACTGTGTATCTTTTTGGGGGCTATAGTTCAGCGCACTCCAACCTTTAGTCATGTTTACTGAGTACCTTCTTTGTGCCAAGGCCAGAGCTGGGTGCCAGGCATACAGCAGAGAAACGAGTCCCCATGGAGCTGACAGTCCACTGGGGCATCAGACAAACAAGGCAACTGCAGTAAACATACACTCACAAGCCGTGGTAAGAGTTGTGGTGTAAGCAAAGAGGGTTCTGGAAGGGAGCACAGATGTATGTTGGGGACCCTGCCCTACACGGGAGCCCATGTGACACCGCATAGGCAGCGAAGGCCTCCGAGACCTGAGACCCAAGGACAGTGAGGAGCCACTGTGGGAGGAGTGGGGTAAGGATGGGGAGAAGCTGCTGGGTCCATGTAGAGTGGGCTGTTTGGGCAAAGGGCCGGAGGCACAAAATGGATTAGCATTTTCAGGAAACCCAAAGGAGTTTGGTGTGTCTGGAGCAGAGCAAGCGAAGTAGAAGGCGGAGTGAGGTCCGAGTGGAGAAGACGTGACCAGGGGCACTGGCACCAGGGACAGTGGGGCCAGGAAAGGCGCCATGAAGGATGTAGGGAGGAGAAGACCCATTTCAGGCTGAGGGACTGGCAGGGACAGCATCACAGAAGCAGGCTTGGAGTCGGGGAGCTGGTCACTGTGCCAGGCTGTGCTAAAGGGCTGGATTTTGTCCTGGATATGCTGAGGCCTCCATGGGTTGTCAGTGAATGACATGGCAGGTTTTTTCCTGGAAGGCCTTGGAGTTAAATGAGACTGAAAGCAAATTGGCCCCTGGGAAATGATGTGACATGGGCTTACTGACCTGATGGGCTGGTTGTCAGCACATAGAAGCAAGCTCCATCCCTCGGGGACTCCCCAGCTGGGTCCCAGCAGTGCTGTGCTAGGCACAGCAAGCTTTGGTGGGATGTACACCAGCTGAGCGCAAGAACCGCCTCACCGTGGTCCTGCATGGCTGGAGGGAGGTGCACAGTGAGCTTCAGTGGGGCGTTTGTGCACCAGCTGAGCGCCGGAACCCCCACACTGTGGTCCTCCACAGCTGGAAGAAGAAGCAGCCTCCCTAAGTGCTGTACCACCTTATTCTTGCAGACACCTGTCAGGCCTGTTAAATTTCCAAGCCTCTCCAGAAGCCCAGCCTCTCCTACCAATTCTGGAAACTTCAACCACTCGCCTCATTCATCTGGCGGCTCCAGTGGGGTAGGAGGTATGAGCCGACACGCTGGGGAGCTGCTTAACCGCTCCGGTGAGTAGCTGGGCAGGGCCATTCAGGGAGGTGGGATGATCCCTTGGGACTGAGGGTGTGAGCTGTCCGGATATTCAGCCTGCAGAAAGTCCCAGAAATGACTGCACAAGAGGGACTTTCTTCTTGATATGGCTAAGAGATTTTTCATCAAATTCACGATTCAGAGCTCTATACATTTTCTTGGGGATGTGGGTGAGCAGTGATGGAGGGAAATAAAGTCCAGAATGCTTTTTTTTTTCTTGTAAAATTTTGCAAGAAATTAAGATAAATGCATGGTGTTTTCATGGTATTTAAAATCCATGAAGGTTAGACCTTAGCTTCTTATTCTGCCCCTTCATTGAACAGATGAGGAAACTGAAGCTCACAGTGGGCAAGAGATCTACCCAGGGTCACACAGCAAGTTGGTGACAATTAGGTCTCAAAGCAGAGTGCCTCATAGTTCTTACAGGCTTGCGGCATACTTTCTAATCCTCCCTAAGGTCATCCAGGATTAACCAAAACCAGCTTTGCAGGAAGGCCACTGTATTAGTCTGTCCTCATGTTGCTAATAAAGACATACCTGAGACTGGATAATTTATAAAGAAAAAGAGGCTTAATGGACTCACAGTTCCACAAAGCTGGGGAGACCTCACAATCATGGCAGAAGCTGAAAGACAAATCTTACATGGCGGCAGGCAAGAGAGAGCAGAGCTTGTGCAGAGAAACTCCCCATTATAAAACCATCAGATCTCATGAGACTTATTCACTGTCAAGGGAACAGCATAGGAGAGATGCATCCCTATGATTCAGTTACCTCCAGCCAGTCCCTCCCATGACATGTGGGAATTGTGGGAGATACAATTCAATGAGAGATTTGGGTGGGAACACAGCCAAACCATATCAGCCACCCTGCTTCTCCACTTTAAAACCAGATGAGCCAAGAAACAAAACAAGGTGTAATCTTACCCACTACAGATCATCAACGTTTTGGTGTTTATGTGTATATATACCAAAGATGTATATATATCTTTGCAAAGTGTTTTCATATAGATTATGAATATTTATAAAAAGACACAGTGCAGCCAGGCATGGTGGCTCATGCCTGTAATCCCAGCACTTTGGGAGGCCAAGGTGGGCAGATCATTTGAGGTCAGGTGTTCAAGATCAGCCTCACCAGCATGGTGAAACCCTGTCTCTACTAAAAAATACAAAAAAAAAAAAAAAAATAGCTGGGTGTGGTGGTGCATGCCTGTAATCTCAGCTACTCAGGAGGCTGAGGCAGAATTGCTGGAACCCAGGAGGCGGAGGTTGTAGTGAGCTGAGATTGTGCCACTGCACTCCAGGTTGGGTGACAAAATGAGACAATGTCTCAAAAAAAAAAATTTTATGGAGCACTTAATAAATGTCAAGTAGCATGCCAAGCCCTTTAAATGAATTATCTCCTTCAGTCTCCTAGCAGCCAATGAAGTTACCACCTCTCTTTTACAGATGAGGGACCAGGGCTGAGGACAGTTAGATGACTTGCCTGGGTCATGTAGCTGTTAGATGGCAGAGCCAGGATCCAAACCCAGGCAGTCTGACTTCAGAGCGTGTTCTTGGAACTATGTGCCTTACTAAACTGTAAACTGCTCTGTAACTTGCTTTTTTCCTCTTCCTCAGATTGCTAGATTGTGAGCACGTTTTTACGTTGGTATGCATATATCTACAGCTTGTTTAATAAATCTTGTTTAATCAAACAGTGTTCCATTTGTATGAGGCATCAAGTGCATTTGACCAATTTCCTGTATTAAACACTGAGGCTGTTCCTAGATTTTTGCTTTTGTAGGTAATACCTTCCTATGTAATACCTTCATGCCTCCATATTTGCCTACATGTTCAGTGATTTCTGTAATTTAAATTTGCTGAAATCAGGGTGGCTGAGTTCGTGAGTATGCCTGTTTTTGAGGCTTTTGTTATGTTTTTGCCCTCTAGAATGGCTCTGTTTAAACACGTGAAATATTTACAGCAGTGCCTGGCACATAGTAAATCCTTTATAAATATTAGTCATTAGTGTCCTCCCTTGAGCACCCCCAGCCCTGGGTATTATCACTTTCTTCCTCCCTTCCTTTTTTTTTTTCTTTTGAGACAGAGTCTAGCTCTGTCACCAGGCTGGAGTACAGTGGTGCAATCTCAGCTCACTGCAAGCTCCACCTCCCTGGTTCAAGCGATTCTCCTGCCTCAGCCTCCCCAGTAGCTGAGCTTACAGGTGCCTGCCACCACTCCCAGCTAATTTTTTGTATTTTTAGTAAAGATGGGATTTTACCATGTTGCCCAGGCTGGTCTCGATCTCTTGACCTCGTGATCCACCTGCCTCAGCCTCCCAAAGTGCTGCGATTACAGGTGTGAGCCACCATGCCCAGCCCTTTTCTTTTACAATAGTTCAAGGTTACCAGGAGATTTGGGGCAGCAGGGTAAGGAAGAATGGCAGTCAGGGTTCAGTCAGAAAGCAGACCACTCTGAGCATTATGGAGTTTGGAATTTATTGACTCAGTCGTGGGAGTAGGCGGGCACATAAAGGGAGTCATAGGGCAAGGGATGAGTCACTCTCCAGCCCTCCTGAAGCCCTGATGTGGCTGGACAAGATGGCTTGTGCAGCTACTGGCTGGCATGGCTGAGGGGCTGTTGAGGGCATCTGGTGCATGATGTTGCATCTGTGCCTGGTTGGGGCCTGCACGAGCTGGCCGTGGCACGGGAAAGCAAGGATGGACTGGGTCTTGCCCACACTGTTACTTCCCACCTCTTACCATCACACCTTCGCAGCACTTTAGGGCCTGCTGCCTAAACGTCCACCTCCTAGTTCTCAGGCAGAGTTCTCCTGTGGTCAGCCCTGTCCTGGAGCCACATGGGGAAGGAAGTCTGGGAGACTGGCTCCAACCCAATCATCTACCCTTGTGTTGGAATAAGCCCTGTGTGCCCGTGTTCACACATCAGTTGGACCTGTTGGACACGACCGTCCACGACCCTTGTGTTGGAATAAGCCCTGTGTGCCCATGTTCACTCCTTTTTGTGTTTCCTCAGGTGGCAGTATAGACAATGTCTTGTCCCAGATCGCAGCCCAGAGGAAAAAAGCAGCTGGATTATCGGAGCAGAAACCCAGCCATCGGTCAACCCCTGTGGGGCCAGCACCGGGGTCCAGCCCGTCTGAGCTTCCAGCCTCCCCTGCAGGTGGCAGCATTCCTGTTAGCAAGGTGCTTGTTCTGCGCGGCCTCCTCCTGTTAACTCAGATTCTGTCCTTGCCAGGGAACATGGGCAGTGCCTTAGTCATGGGCTAGATCATGGTCCCTTCCAGCCAACCAGGCACTCCTGGGCTTCATGAGAAGGGCTGAATTGGTCCCCTGCACCAGGCGTTTACCTCCCCTCACATCTCCAGGTTTAGGGGGCACTGGGATGCTGTGCAGAGACAGGGTACATACCCATTTCCTACAGCCCCACAGGTCACCCAGCCTCATGCTGCACACATTTGTTCACTGATGACAATGAATGGTTTAAGAACATGTATTCAGGAACAACCTGCCTGGGTTCAGCTCTCAGCCCCATACATCAGCATTTAGAATGGGACCAGGCACAGGGTAAGCCCATGTCTGTGTTGGCTGTTCCTGTTGACAGCATTCTTAGTGGCCTTTGTTGTCCTTCAACCTTATTCATCCATTGTGTACATCCTGGGAGCATCAGCTCTGCCTGGCACAGCTAACAGTGATGATCCAACTGTGAACCGGGAAATTTGGCAACCACTCTAAGGACACAGGCAGTCACAGCTCAGTGTGATAGGGGTTGTTGTGGAGCAGGAACAATGCTGTGGGGGTACAGGTGGGGGGCCCTACCCAGTTTTGAGGGCATCAGGGCCATCTGGATGGAGATCTGAAGGATGAGGATGGAGCCAGATGAAAGGGATATGGGTGGGCCAGGGGTGTTGGTGTGACTGTTGTAGGGTGAAGGGACAACTTGTGTAGCACTCCAGAAGTGACAGCATGGCCAAAAGGAGGAGCTGAAGGAGGGACATGAGTAGGACAGAGCTGGGACCTTGCCTCCCTGCTTCTGGGCACTGTGCTTCCATTAATGCAACCAGAGAACAGTTACCACATTGTTAGAGTCCGCAGACTATGCAGTGGACGAGAAACCTGGATGCTTTCCTGCAGCAAGAAGGTTTTTAGTGTCTTCAGACTCTGCCTCTGCCTCCTGAACCTCTTTGCCTTGGTTGATTTCTGGAGTCTGCCCCCAGAGTGCGGGTTCCTGGTCGTGAGTGTGAACTGGCACCTCCACCAAGTGCTCCCCAGTAGTGCAGCATAGCCCTTTCCTCCTCTGAGGGGACACTATGTCTGGGCACAATCCCCTCTTGATAGTTCTCAGATGTCTTAAGCTTCCTTCCTGAGAAACTCTGTACACGGAAAGCCTCATCCATGGACCTTAGCACACCAAAAAAGCACCTCCGGAAATTTACGATCCCAGGATGTACATATACTGTATGAGAAATAGTCATTTTCTGCCCAACCACTGTTGGTTACACAACTTTTTGTTATTCAAGATCCTTTTTATGCAATAGGACCTACATAATTAGATTCTCTTTACAGTATTGCTCCAAAAAGTTTCTTTCTCTCTGCACATCAGCTTATTTTCCATTTTTTATCTTCAAAATAATTTGTGGAATAGGTCCTATATGATTAAGTTCCTTTTATAATTCAGCTGCGGGGAAAAAAGTCTCTACTGATACTTTGATATATTTTATCAGATAGTAAGAACTTTTATAACTATTGTATTTCTCTTTTTGCCTTTGCTACTAGGAAACTCGACTACTCATGAGGTCTAGTGTTTTGAGGCTTTGATACAGTTTTCTTTGTTATCTAAACTATTCTGATGGTCTTATTGGATGTGTTAGATACTAGCTTCCTTTAATTATTGTTGGAAATAAGCAAGCATTTCCAAGTTATAAATTATATTACTACTCCCTATTATATTAACTATTACTTTAGTATATTGATCACACATAATCTATATATAACTGTATTCTGATGAAAGGAGATTGTATCAAAAGATGCATTCAGAAAGCAGTAAACTGGGGAAACCATCCATTTCAACCATCACCAGACATTTGTAACATAATAATAGTATGCTATGATCTTGGGGAGCTGTCCAAAAATTCAGGTTTCTGGGCTCCACCTCAGCATACCTGAATGAGATTCTCAGGGGAGGGTCTGGAGAATGTTTTCCCTGCAGAGAGTCTGTTGCAGCCATCCTAGTCCAGGGCTCATAGAAACTATAGCCTTAAATCAAAGGTTATAGGAGTGGGCTTTCTATCCCAGTAGCAAAATAGAGACATAAAGTGCTTCTTCAAAGACTCCCTTAGTAAAAATTAGAAATTAGTATTCAAAATATAGCCTCCTGAATCTGGTTTTTGTACTTTGCTTAAAACAACTCACTGTAATGGTGGAATATCCACAAAGCATGCCATCTAGCAGGGCCATGAATCAGTGTGATATGAGCTCCAGGTGACACGGCATAGGTGGTGTTAGAGTGTGCAACAATACTTCCCAGATCTCTGGAGGCCAAAAGGCCTGCTAGATATATCAGCTTTCTATTCCTACCCTAAAGCTCAGTCATTTCAAGCAAAAACTTTTACTTAGCTGCTTGTGCATCTGTGGGTCAGCACTTTAATTTGGACTTAGCTGGGCAGTTCTCTGGTCTGCAGGGATCACTCATCTGTCTGGCTGGTGGCTGAGGTGGCCAAGACAACTGAGTCACATGTGTCTACAGTGAGCTTGGACATGTTCTCATGGGACTGGCTGAAGGCATGGGCTGAAAACCAATCAGGTTGTTTAAGCAAGTCAGTATGCCGAGCACGGCAGGAGAGCACACAGAACTACACGCAGAGGGAGGGGTAGAGATGATGGTCATTAACACAATCAGCCTACCACTCAAGGGATATCGAGAACAATTCATATGTTTTGCAGAATCCCAAATAATCTTATATTTACCCACCTCTTCCCCAGTATGCTGCCCATATGGTCCAGAGTATCATGTTTCTTTGCTTTTGGCTGAGATAGATCTATGGGGGATATACTAATTATCTCCTGCTTAATCAAAAATTCTGTTTCAGATTGTCTGTCTTCATGGAAAGAGCAGAGGAAAGAGAAAGGAATTTATTAGTAGTATAGCCAGCTTTTTGGCAAAATCTTTCAAAACCTATGGGAGGGTATTCTTTTTCTACCTAGGGATATAATCAGCTAGAAGGAGCATTCAAGGCTTAATAGGAAGAAAGATATATCCATTTGTGCTTAGAAATCTTATTCTCTACTATACTATACAAGATATCCAATTTTTAGCAAAATTGACAAGACATACAAAAAGACAAGAAAAACCACACTCCCTAGAAATGAAGCAATCATGATAATCAGGTCTGACAAAGGTGTGAGAATATTTGACAGGGAATTTTAAATAGCTGTGATTAATATGTTAAAGGTGCAAATAGAAAGTATAAACAACATGCAAGATCATATGGATAACTATTTTAGTAGAGAGATGGAAACTATAAGAAAGGATCTAATATAAATGTTGGAAATAAAAAACACAGTTATGGAGTTGAGAAATACCTTTGGCAGGCACCTCAGTAGACTTGATGCAGCCAAGAAAAGAATCAGTGAACTTGAAGTTAGGTCAGTAGAATTTACCCCAACTGAAACACAAAAGAAGAAAGAAGAAACAAATACAAAACAGTGCTCAAAAGTCATGGCATGATATCAAATGCCATAGCATACAGATGATTGGAATCCCTAGAGGAAGAGAGAGAGGTGGGGCAGAAGGAACAGGTAAAGAAATGATGACTAAAAAATGAAAAGAAGTAATGGTTGAGAATTTCCTCAAATTGATGACAGATGCCAAATCACAGATCCAGGAAGTTAACAGAACACGCTAAGCAGGGTAAATACCAAAAAGAATATACCTATCCATGTTATGTTTAAACTACTGAGAACAAGCCAAAGAGAAAATCTTGAAGGCAGCCTTTTCTTCAAGGAAATTACATAGAGAAACAAAAATGAGAATTACAGCAAACTTCTAGTCAGAAACCATGCAAATCAAAGACAGTGTTGTGACATCTTTAAAATACTGAAAGAAAAAATTAGAGTCATGTTGGCTCATAGAATGAGTTGGGAAGTATTATCTCCCCTTCTAGCTTTCTGCAAGATTCTGTGGAATTCTTGTTACCTTTTCCTTAGACGTTTGATAAAATTTGCCAGGGAAACCATCTGGGCCTGCCATTTTCTCTTTTGGAAGGTTTTAACTTATAGAATAAATTTCATTAATAGATATAGGACTATTCAGGTGTTCTCTTTCTACTTGAGTGAGTTTTTATACTTTGTATTTTTCAAGGAATTATTCCCTTTCATCTAAGTTGTTGAATTTATGGATATAGAGTTTGTAATAGTATGTATCTGTTACCATTTTATTACATAGGATCAGTAGGAATGTCTCCTTTTTCCTTCCTGTTATTGGCAATTTGTGACTTTTCTCTTTTTTTCTTGACAGTTTGGCTAGAAGATTATCAGTTTTATTGGTGTTTTTCAAAGAACCAACTTTGGTTTTAGTGATTTTCTCTATTGTTTTTCTGTTTTCAATTTCATTGATTTCCGCTCTTTAATTTCTTTCCCTCTACTTGCTTTCAGTTTTATCTTCTTTCTCTAGTTTTTTATGGTGGAAGCTTAGATTACTACTTAAAGATCTTTCTTTTTTTCTAATACAAATTTTTGGTTTTTTTTGAGACGGAGTTTTGCTCTTGTTACCAGGCTGGAGTGCAATGGCGCGATCTCGGCTCATGGCAGCCTCCGCCTCCTGGGTTCAGGCAATTCTCCTGCCTCAGCCCCCTGAGTAGCTGGGATTACAGGCACGCACCACCATGCCCAGCTAATTTTTTGTATTTTTAGTAGAGAAGGGGTTTCACCATGTTGACCAGGATGGTCTCGATCTCTTGACCTGGTGATCCACCCGCCTTGGCCTCCCAAAGTGCTGGGATTACAGGCATGAGCCACCATGCCCAGCCCTCTAATACAAATATTTAATGCTATAAATTTACTTCTATGTGATGCTTTTTCTACATCCCACAAATTTTGATATGTTTTAATTTTAATTCTTTTTAAAATATTTTCCCCTTCTCTTGAGATTTCCTCTTTGGCCCATGGATTACTTAGAAATGTATTGT